GACTGGCGCCTAAAGATGATGCGTTTCAGTGGTTACTCTGGCTGCAAAGCTGGAGTCCGTCGATAATTCGGATTGCTCTCGATCTGGTTATGCTCGATCGGGTGGTGCCCCATGCCGAGGAAGCTGCTGTGGAAAACAGCAAATCTCACCAGCAAGGCATGGAAACGTTGCTTGAACTGCTTGCCTCAGAACATTCGTTCACTTTTGAGCCTTTCATTACTGCGTGTCATCGGGTCAACGGGAGTACCGCGAACTTCTGGTTCGACCCTCTTTGCAGGTGGGCCTTCTCAAGTCTTGGCCTGAGATTGCCGAGAGCCTCAGTGGAGACAGAGACCCCGGGGACAAGGAGGCCTTTGACTCATCCGACCATGGCCTTCCAGTGAGTCTCGTAACATCTGGGCAGGTGGACTGGTTTGCCACGAGACACTACTGGGAGCCGCTCCGCCAGCAGCGTAGCAGGACATTAGGATTTGGATTCGAGTTGCGGACTTTCGTTCAGGTTGTTGCACCAAGGTATGTTGCTTTGTGAGTATGTGCACCGGCAACGCAGCAGAACTCAAGGATGGTGGCCTTCACTGCCTTCGCGAGGCAAGGTGTCAGACAGGCACTGCCGCAAGCGTCTTCCGCAGCACCTTGGCACAACGATTGCCGATGGGGCCATTTTCTGCTTTCGTGCCCTGCAAGCAGAGTTGGCATCTCGCTGCGGAAAGTGCCAAATCTGCGGCAGAGTAGCTGGACAATCTCTAACTGTGCTATGTCTAAGTCCAAGGCGGAACAGGAGCTGCTTGGCGGCTTGCAGAGTTCTGCGCTATGCTCCGGTTCTTGGAATGTTCCCTAATTGTTGGGGGGCTAGAATGCTTCACAGATGCAAGGTTTCGGTTGTCGTTAGCCGCTGGCACATGCATCAGGAGTTTGCGCTGCTCGGTGCATGAATTTGCAGGGTACTGTAGTTTACCGACGACTTGACGACCGCAGTAGAAAGTGGCGCCGTGTGTGCTGTCATGTCCTTGAGAGAGCTTTTCCGCGACACCGGGTTCTCCCGAGGCGGACGCTGGCCCAGGTCACCCGAAACCTACGAAGCATCTGGGACACCAAGCTGTGCTCACCAGGTGCACTGGGAGGTTTGAACCTTGGCTCAAAGAGGCTACTGGAAGCTTTGGTCAACCATGCTGCAGGATTTGAGCCTGGGTCACAATGCCGCTTTCTCACATCCGAGGAAAGAGGAACACTTGAAACGCTTAGGCGTCACGGATGAGGTCCCGCCGCTGCAATTGATTTGCGATTCCTGGCTTGCGCAATGGCTCGTAGAGCATTCCCTGCCACAAGAGTCGTAACCTGACGGCACCTCGCGAAGGGTGGATGCACCTCGACCCAGTCCGCCTGTAATTCTCTGAGCCTCATGTGTTGCTCCTTTGGTGTAGTTGGAGACACAGACCTCGTCTGGCGGAGCCCGAGTTGCGAGAGCGTATACGTTTTGCTCCACCCAACCCGATACCGAGTTTCCAGTTGAGATGGTTTCGTCAAGATTGGAAGGGTTCAAGAAGCTCCTAGAGTCCTAGAACGTCCTCGAGTCTCAGCGAGGTCTCTCTCATCTTCGCGTTCGCGGACAAGGAGGCTCTGGTGCAAGCGCCCTGCGGCAGCACGGGATTGATGCGGGCCTGGGTTCACTTCAGGGCTTGGAGTCCCGTTCCACGTGTAGTTTGCGCTATGCTGCAGATTTGACAAACGACGCGCTGCACTGGTGTTGAGGATGTGGAGAAAGTGGATGGTGCTACACATCAAGCCGGCCGACCTCGACAGCGTTCACAGGCGTAAAATCAATTCGTCTGCGGGTGGTCTTTGTGTCCAACTGTCTGTCCGCATTCATTGCGAGATGTAAAAGGACCAGGTTTATGCTTCATCCCTATTGCTACAGGCCGAATCTGGACAAGTTTTCGTCACTACTGGGGGAGCATACCTGCAACTTTGCTGATCTTCGCCGATCCTAGCTGTGTTGACGTGGGTCGTGAGAGCTGGCGACATGTAGTGACGATATAGTGAGTATATAGTGCCTCGATAGGAGACCGAAGACCCTACACATGTCAATGGCCCTGACGCCCGCAAAGGCGACTGCATGTGCTACGACCAGTGCGGCAAGCTGGAGGCCATGCCATCCTCCATTGCATGGTATACCTGGTCCGCATGGTAGCAAGAAGAGCAAGGCTCAGAGCAAAAGCAGCGAAAGCTGAGCGTCTGGAGCACGGCAGAGCAGGCATCCGCCTACGTGACCTGCAATCCCTTTTCTCCGGGGGCCCCAGAGGACGGCAAGTGCCTTCTTTGCCATCTAACACCGGATGTGCGTGCTGTGCGGCTTACCCGTGCTACAGTTGTGACAGTTTTTATCCATGTCGACGCTCCTTCCAGGAGGAGATCCGGACCGAAGCTCTGAAACTCTTTGCTCGCGAAGTCGTAGTCGACAAGGCTCCTTTGTCTGACCGTTGGTTCACGATTTTCACCTTGGCTCGCTTTGCTCGTTGCAAAGCACGTACAGGTATGGGGGGCTGTGCTTCTGTGAGGTGCACAAATCCGGAGCGGTCTACAAAGATGCAGAGTTGCTCCATGTCTGCCCAGAGTTTACCGGGTCACGGCGTGGCTTCTTCGGCCTTGAGTTTGGGCGCATAGATAGTATCCCAGTGCCAAGTCGACGGCACTTCTGCACTTAATCGAATTGTGTGGTAGCGTACGTCCGGGAGCTCCTCCATCAACTTCCCCAGCTCGCAGTGGGGGCGAAGGTCCAGACGAAGCTCGTCGCAGGGCCCGGGAGGGCCGCTTTGAAGTTAGCTGTTCTCTTCGTCATCCGCGATCCTGGTGCAGTGAACAGAATCAGAAGCGCTTCTCAATTACACCCTCGCTCTCTCCGATTTCCACATGCATGGACATGCATCCCCCGCCCTCGCCCGCTCTGTATCTGCAGACCTGGTCGGAATCAAAGTCTGCAGCAGCTCCCGAAAAGGGAGGATGCTTCCCCAGCCCCTCTTCTGGGCGACCCCTTCCAGCCGACGTAGAGCAGACGTGTATTCATTGCCTAGAGCCAAGCGTCTCGACTCGACCCTTCCGACTTCCTTCTGTGCCTTTTGCCCTCGCCCACAGGAGCACGGATCACACAGCGGCTCGAGGCGGACGCTGGATCCACCGCCCCGCCCCGCACCCCTCTGTCCCTCGACTTCAAGACTGGGGCGTCCTCGCCAGGCTTCCGGTCCAGCGCTCATGAGGGACTTGACCCGCCTGCCATCGACGAGGGTTCCAGCCGTGCCCAAAGCGGCCGTGAGCTGCTGGTTCAACAGGACCAACACAGAGACCTCTGTCCAACATCTGTGACCGAAAGCCTCAAAACGTCGCGAGAGGGCATTTGACCCTGCATGGCATTCAAACCCAGACCGACACTAACAGGTGACAGCATTGCGCGGATCACCGCAGTTACGTGAGGTGCAGCCGAAAGGCGTTGCAGAGAAGGGGTAGCTGCCGGCAGCGACGAGGAGCAGCCCTAGCAGTGAGAGCCACCACCAGACCATGGCCTGGCGTCGAGAGAACCGGAATCTGCACACAATCGCCTCTCCGGGCGCGTCGCTAATGAAGCTTCCATCCAGCGTCCAGACGGTGCCTGCCAACACCGGCGCCGGCCGGTTGATACATCGGCTGGTGCTTCGTCCGATGCGAGGACACGGAGGAGACACCCGCTTCCCATGCCCTGTGAGGCATTCGTTGCACAGGCGCAAGCTAAGGCGCGCCGGCGCTGATACGTTTAGGGCTTGTTTGGGGGGCCGCATGCATGTGCGTGTAGGAAAAAGGGGTATAGGTCGGGCAGCGTCTCAGCTCGATCGATTTCGACTTCCCACCCTCGCCACCCTGATTCGTTTAATCCAAGACACCATGACCTGGCAAGGGGGATAGCACTCGTGTAGTTTTGGCTGACACGACGTGGTGTAGAGCTTGTTTGTCTTCAGGTGGGAGCTTGCGATGAGAAACAGCAACCGAAGCCTGTGCCATCTTCTCACATGCAGACGAAAAGGTGTGCGACTCGGAACCGAGGTCCGTCCAACGCCTACCAGGTCTGGGAGGTTGCAGATCCCAGCTCGTCCTCCGATCAATCTATGGGTGCCTAGGAGCGCAAGTCAGAAACACAATAGATTTAGTGTGCATTCCGCGCCAACCCTTGCTATCCGACTTCAGGGCCTATAAAAACATCTTTGGTCACATCTCGAAGTGCGAAGTGCCGCATTTCTTCAATCAGAGCAACGGCGCAGGCTGGTGGGTTCTGCTCCGGTGCAGCACATGTCGAGTATTGGCGAGCCAGTCTTACGGTCGACGTCGTTGCAAGTGCTGCGCCAGTCGGCATGTCATGCTGTAGCCAAAGATGTGCCAGGTGACGACCTCAAAATCATTCTTTGGAGTGACGAGGACGCCGCGGAACCATTAAGTTTCCAAGCTTACGAGAGAGCTCATCGAGTAGATCCTTTCCATTTGGATTCGGATTCCGACACTGATTCGGATTTCGACACTGATTCCGATTCGAGCAACTCACTGTATATATCGCCGAATCCACCTGACGAGCACTAAGCCCTCGATAGTCATCTTCCGAGCTACTCTGGGAATTAATGCCGGCATGCCAGAGTTCTGCCTCGGCGGACGGCGCAGACCGTGGGCCGATCAGCGGCCGATCGCCTATCGCCTGGAGAGGTCAAAGACGGGCATTTCGCAGTCTTTCGAGTTTTAGAATGCAGTTTCTTGGCTTCGATGCGACCCGAGGCAAGTGACACACTTGAGTAGCATGTTGTCGCTGCATGCAAACCTGCGTCATCTGGTTTCATGACAGCACATACAGAGTCGTTGTGATGCAGGTTTATGTTCCAACAGATGCAAGATTCCAAAGTCCTGAGATAACCTGGATTATGCCGAAACGCATACAAGCAGGACCAACAAAACCCCGAAGTCTCCAAGCTTTTCCATCAATTTCCAGTGCCATGGGCGGGAAGCCGGTCGGAAAGGGCGGCAAATATGGTGGCGGCCGCGGGGCCGTCGGAAGGGGCAGCCCAGGCGGAAACACAGTGGAGCTGTGGAGAAGTAGTTTTTAAGAAGAGTTCGTCCTTCAATCAGCGACTTGAACTGGTGCCGGTGAAGGCAAGGGCAAAGGCAAGCCAAGCTTCCGCCAGCAAGTGCCTCGGCATGAAGCCCGGCAGCCTGCAGATGTCTCTCGGGCACAGTCTTATTATTTCGTGTTGGCGCACTGCATGCCGGCCGTTGCTCCGAGTGACTGACAGCGACCATGTACCTTGCAGGAGGGGAAGCCCGATGGCACCGCAAAGACCGAGCCTTGACTAATCTTGAGCAGAGGTTCCCTGACGCCTGACTCTTGCCAATCTGCTTGTCGCCTCTCGGTGAGGAGTCCCTGAAAGCCCAGTATCTCCACAAGCAGCGAGGCTGTGCGTTCGCCACGTCTTTAGCAACAGTGCAGTGAGAGCCGGATGCAGGCGAGGATCCTGCTCAGGATTCCCAAGCGAGGGAACAGGCCAGGCCGCATGCAGCAAGTCGTTCTGCAGAGTTCCTGTGCATCCGCGCCCACGTGGCACTGCGCAAGCAAGGAACCCGAAGACAAAGCCGCAGTGCTCCGGGACCGGCTTCTGATGCTCGGCAAGGGTTGGCACTTGAGATTTCTCGTGGGCATAAAGGGGACACCTGGAAACCTCTTGACTCTTGACCATTTGGTCGTTCGGCATTATGTTTGTGCAGTGACATGTCGAGCATGTCAATTCGCGCGGCACGAGGCGCAAGAAGCAGGAGCAGCAGAAGAACCAGGCGAGAGATTGCATTTCAGGCTTGGGTCGAGGAGCTGGACACGGATTCGCTGTCTTCAGCGGATTCGCACTGTCTGCAAGTGGTTAGGTGGGCATGTTCGCTGGTCGCTATCACTATTTCGCACCGTGCCTGCCACGGGCGGGTGGCGTACCCACCGCAGGCGTCGCCGTACCTGCTTCAACATGGACCGAGGGCACTCGTGGTTCGGCTCGGCGTTAGATTTGTCACAAGCTTTTTCCCAATCCCACAGCATCAAGCGAAGGGATTGACCAACAACTTCGGCTCTCGCCAAGATGCGTCTGACAATGTGGATGGGTTGTGAAGTAGAGCTCGAAACTCCAAACCGGAACTGCGCTCCGGCAAGCAGTGCCCTGTCCGGTGCTAAGTTGTCGTGATATCGGCAATGGAGGAAGACAAGCAAGCACGTCACAGCAAAGTAGAATCCGAACATGCTTCAACCCGACATCATGGCTAGGACCAGGTAATGCCAAACAAGCAGGTATTGTGTCTACGCGTGCGCATGGGGATTCGCAACATGCATGTGCCCAGTTGCCTTATTGCATGGTCATGTGGATGGAATGCAGGTGAGGGCTGCCCATGACCCTGCCACAAGACACGGCGCGACCGCGGTAACGGTGACTTGGGTGGGATTGCTTGTCGGTGGCAGAGCATTCAGCATTCAAGTCTTCTTGGGCCAAGCGGGCGAAATCCTGGGTCGTTCTTAGGGCGACCTCGTCGTTGGTTCCATATCCCAGCTTTACATGGTCGGTACAGTGTACTTTAGGCGGAGAAGTTTGTTAACGAATCACTTTGTGGAGCCTGATTGAAGGGTCAGCAGGTGTGGATTTTGAGTGTAGGGTGTTGAGGTGGACCTCTCGTCTGGCGAGCCTCGGGCGGGTGCGCAGGCACGTCCAGTAGTCCCGCGATGTTGCACTCATGAGTCATGACCCCTGCTGACGCCAGTAACTAGCTGAAATGATCCTAAGAGCACATAAGCAAGCAGACCGGCGGCGTCGAGCAGTAGGAGGACAAACTCCATATTTCTTGTGAAACTGTGGTGATAGCACCATTCACGCCTCGCTCCCGCTCGTGGTGACTGGACGCTGACCTGGAATTGTGTCTTCAGCTCTTCGCCGCGATCACGGAAGACTGACTGCCGACCGAGTGGCTGTTTTGCTGGCTTTGGCTTTTGATTTTCGTTCTCATTTCGGCATACTATGCCGAAGATTTGTTTGCGAAGTCCTGTATGTCGTCGCAAGCATTCAATCTGCTGCAGGCCCATGTGCTTCTTGAATTCTCCATTTAGAAACAGCTCCAAGGCGGCTAAATTCGTAAGCGGATGAGTGTTTTGATGTGTGGTGCATTGGGCCCGTCCCATGGATCGCGGAGTCAAAATGGGGGAATCCCGGCCCAGGCAGAGAAGGCCCGCTTCGCATCAGCTGGCGCAGGAGCGCGTGGAGCCGCAGCCCTAGGCGCCTTGGATGAAAGGAGCGCGCATAGGTGGCGTTTCTTTTCAAGCACAGTGGCAAACCTGACAACAGCCGCGCAAAACATGATACAACAAGGAGGACAGCAAACAGAGTGAGAGTGCTTGGCATCCGTTCAGGCACTGCTTCCGATGCCAAGACACGTCGCCCGGCTGCAGAATCTCTTGAAAAAGGATGATTATCGGCTAGCATCTGCTTCAGGGTCAGCATGGCCCCCAGGGTACAAGACTGGAGCAAATCGCCTCCCACGACTCTCATCGCTGGCGTTGGTTCTTCTCAGGTGTTGTGGAGGTGGAGGCGCGCGGGCGAGAGACGGCCAGCAGGAATGCTGCGGCATACTAGTCGGCTAAAGTGCTTGGTATCAACACCTGCTGCTGAATAAGTAGAGTGGTGCATGCAGGCGTACAGTCTGCCTGAATCGAATTTGCCTGTGAGACCTCTGTACCCTACTTCGCGACTCGCTCAGCCATGTAGGAGGCAAAAAACACCTGCCGCACTCCACTACAGATCACTATTCCACACTGGTCCGCTCTGTGGTACTGTGTTACTGTCAATTATTCATTGCTGTGTTGTCGTGATTTGAGATGTTCTCCGGTATGTTTGTATCTGCAGAAGCCAGCGCATGTTCGCTCCTGCCAGGCTGCTTCTAGTTCCGCAGATGCGGCTCTTAATGAGGAGGTGCGGCGACCATGAGAACGTCATGTGCGTGGTTCGTTGAAACATGGCTAGCTCGGCTGAGGGTTTTCCAAGGTCCTTGACGTGGACCTAAGCCTCAATTGCCCCCATCGGTGTTTTACAACTCGCGACTTCTTGTTGCCTAGGGCACCCTCGCCAGGTAGACTAGAGGTCGTGTACACATCCTCTTTGGAGCTGAGCAAGACTCGGACAACTCCAGGGCCCAGGGTCTCTGAGTGGGCTGTGTGCGGGTTAGTTGATGATGCCCCCCTTGTTCGCTCTTGCTCGATTCGATTTGCGTCGTGGATTCCGATGCAGCTACACTCTCGGACGTGTTGTATCGGTTGCGAACTCGCTGCTAGGCTTTTTCGGGGTGTCCTGAGAGTTCGCACTCTCTTCATTTTCAGTTCGGACGATTGCCCCGCGGTGCCACTTGGTCAGCTGGGCGTGTGGCAAAAATTGCCCCATCTCCTAACCTCCGAACAGTTGTACATTGCAAGATTCCTAAGAGGGTCGGTGGAGCGAACCCCGACGGGTGGAGCCTCACCTGAGTGCAGGAGCGAAAGAAGCAGCTTCGCGGCCAGCGGTTCGCGCAAACCACAGGCCCTGAGATCGTCCATGCCGAAGCACTTCCTCAGACAGAGGGCAGAGTCCAAATGTCGGAGCCGCTAGGTGCCAACCGTGTGAAACCTTACAAGCCAACTTGCAGCGAAGTTGCCAGAGCTCCAAGGTCCAAGGGCTTGCGCAGTGTTGGAAAGAGTTCCAAGCAAGGTGCGGCTCCAGGTGCACCTGCGCCAGGCCCCAAGCCAGCCGGAGCTCCGCCTGGTGCTTTCCTCAGCTGTCGCACTTCCAACTGGGTCACGCCTCTGCTGAGGCTCTCATGTTTCACGGATTTGTTGCATGTGTGGGTGTGCACACGCGGAGTAAGGGGGCTAGCTACGGCCTGAAGTGCAGGTGTTGTGAGTTCTCCTGAGCCGATTTCACCAACAGGCCGGGCTCGTGCGTGCCAGTAGCAGAAGAATTTATGACACAAACTCTCACAAACATGTAGACTAAATGACTGTAGGACCACTGCATGTGCCTTTCAAGCTGGAGGAACATGACCTCTATGTCAATGCTCCGAATCACGTCAAAAAAACATCCTGCACATCGCGAAGACGGTATCCCATGCGGGACCGCCATACCACAGTCATGGCCTGCGTGTTTCGCCCCACGGGCACAGGCTAGACTAAGGTACTTGGAATCATTGCCATGTGTGACCTGCAGCACATGTCCACACTTCCCGCTCTTCGGTGGTGTTGTTGGCCGAACCGACAACGAATACCACCATGCCACGACGGCGCAATCAGCACCACCACTTACGATGACCACTGCAACATCCCAACATTCCTAGTGGCTACTGCTGCCATTAACTTGACTATCGCGGCCATACTTCTACTAGCTACTAGTACCAAAACTGGTACTGGTACTAGGGCTGGTATTGCTGCTTATAGCCGTACTAGTTAACATGCTCGTACTGGTATCAGGGTTTGGGTGTGGATGCACGGGCCAATGGATGGGCTGATAACATGGACGTTATCATGGTTTTTGCATGGATGCACTGGCCACCGGATGAGCTGGTATCATGGACTTTGACTTTGTCATGGTTTGGGAATGGATGCACTGGCCAATGGATGGGCTGGAAGCACGGACGTTATCATGGCTTGGTAGCATGAACATTATCATGGTCTGGGCATGGATGCACTGGCCAATGGATGGTCTGGTAGCACGGGCGTTACCATGGTTTGAGCATGAATGCACTGGCCCATGGATGGGCTGGTAGCATGGTTTGGGCATGGATACAGACCTGAGCGACCGAGAGAGTGCGGCAAACGAGGGTGATGGAGCCTAGTACTAGTAGTAGTACCAGCACTCGTAGCGTGCTTCTTAAGCAGGCCTTGCCAAAACCGTGTCTGCATGACCGACATGTTAATCTCTGCTTGGGAAGGATTTTTGCAAGAAGTGGCAATCAAGCCTTGAACTTGAAACAGAATTATGGATCGTGTGGGAAACTATTTCTACTCCCAACAGTACCACGACTGCCGATACTATTAACGACGGCGACGACGACTACTACTCTAGTACTAATACTAGTACTAGTACTAAGTACTAAGTACTAAGTACTAAGTACTAAGTACTAAGTACTAAGTACTAAGTACTAAGTACTAAGTACTAAGCACGAGTACTAGTATTAGTACTAGTACAACTACGACACTATTACTATCTGATATTGTTATCATTGTCACTACTGCTATTCTCATTAGTTAGTGTTTTCATCAATGTTATCAAGTAGTGGTCTCTCCTGATTACATACGATAGCTTTTGTTAGTATCCTCGGCAGAATTTGTGTTTCATTTACTTCTACCAGAAGATATCAAAATCAAGTATGGAGGAACTCTGCTTTCTTGTGCTGAGGATTTGGGCCTCTGCCTGGACCTCCAGGTTGTGATTCTGCAGTTCTGTGAGGCCGCGGCGGAGGAGGTTCAAGCGCTGTTGGCTGCCAGCCGTGAGGACCTGGCGGAGAGAATGGAAATGCTCCTGGAGCAACCTTTAGATCCCAACCTTGCCGACGACGATGGGGACACACCCCTGGCCACCGCTGCCCGCAATGGCAGCAGCGACTGTGCACGGCTCCTCTTGGAAGCCGGCGCGGACAGGGACAGGGCCTTCCGAGGAGCCAGCCCGCTCTGGTTAGCAGCTGCAAGGCGCCATGCAGAGACTGTGCGAGTGCTGGTGCACGCGAGCGCCGATATTGATCTGACCTACGAAGGTGCTTCCCCTCTCTGGTTTGCAGCACGGAAAGGTCATGTTGATGTTGTCCAGCTGCTCCTCCAAGCCGGTGCAAATAAGGAGAAGACCAGCATCTCGGGCATCTCGCCTCTGTGGATTGCGGCTGCCAAGGGCCACTTGGAAGTCGTCCGTTTGCTGCTTCATTCCGACGCAGACATGGAAAAGACGCCTTACCTGGGTACGACCCCGATTCAGATCTCCATTGCGAGAGGCCACTTAGAAGTGGCACGTCTTTTGCAGGGCACCAAGGAGGTCAACCTCGACGAGGCTGCTGGGCCGATCAAGTCACCATTACGACAACACTTCATCTAGATCAACGCAAGTTATGGTAGCTCTTGTAAATTACATTCCTTAACCGATAACCCTAGACCCTAAACAGTATAAAACCCTAATTCGCCTTATATCACCCTAAACCCTAAACCCTATACCCTAAACCCTAAACCCTAAACCCTAAACCCTAAGCCCCTATTAGAGCCCAGGAAGCTCCAGCAGAGCCTCGCTTCGGTTATCTGGACGCGGAGCGACTCCTGCAGAAGGCCGCGCGTGACGCACCGGGGGGAATCCAAAGCTCGGCTTTCCGGGTGGCATTGAAGAGGCCACGGCGCCACTGGCCCTTGTAGGGCGGTTTAGGTTTAGGGTTTAGGGTTTAGGGTTTATAGGGTTGAACGTTTAGGGCTTATGGAGCTGCAAAGAACGGTCCTGGTCCCGTGGCGGCACCCACATGAATCAACAAGAAGCTTCTTCCCGCCTCTGCTGGTATGCTATTCTATGTCGAGCGTGCCGTGGAACCTGGAGCAAATGTTGGCACACGGACTCTGGACGCAGGGACCACGGTCGACCTCTGCAAAGGCTGCAGCAAAGCCTGTATGTCAAAAAAGCTGACGGCTGTGGCGGATAGTCAAGCTAGAGCCTGCACCACAAGTGCAAACTACACATCCCCGCCCCTTTGTTTAAGTCCCAAACTGCACCCAAAACTTTAAAAAATGAACCCTAATCTTTGAACCTTATACAGCTTTTACACGAGACCCGATCCCGGAGCCCGGAACCCCAAGCTAAACTCCAATCTTAGGGTTTAGGGTTTAGGTTGTAATTTTTAGGGTTTAGGGTTGTGGGTTTAGGGTGTGGGGTTTAGGGTTTAGGGTTGTGGGTTTAGGGTTTAGGATTGAGGGTTTAGGGTTGTGGGTTTAGGGTTGAGGGTTTAGGTTTTAGGTTTTAGGGTTTAGGGCTTAGCCCCTAAATAGCGTCTGTCTGCAGACGCTTAAATTCCTACGGGTTTAGGGTTTAGGGTTAAGGCCGAGTTAAGGCCCTAAATTAACCCTAAACTTCGTAAACCCTAGCCCCTGAAACACAAACCCTAAACCTAAACCCTAAACCTCTGAACCCCTAAACCATTAAACCCTACACCCCCAGACCCTAAACCCTAAACCCCTAAACCCTAAACCCTAAACCCTAAACCTAAACCCGTAAGTCCCAGTCTCCACAGCCCGAAGATCTCTGCGGGCAGGGCTTTGAGCGCCATGGCGGGCAAAGTGAAGGCCTGGGTTCTTGCAAAACCGCAGTTTTGCCGAGGGTTTAGGGTTTAGGGTTTAGGCTTCAGGTTTTTGGATTTAGGTTCGATTGTTTAGGTTTGACGTTTTCGGGTTTAGGGTTTAGGAGTTTAGGGTTTAAGGTTTATGAGTTTAGGGCTTAGGGTTTCGGTTTGAGGTTTATGTGCATATGCACATGTATATAGGCTGAGGGTTTCCGGTTTAGAGCTGATGGCTATGTATGTGTATATATTTTAGTAGATGTATATGAATTCCGTATTATGATTATGTATGATGCAACGTATCTGCATAAGTGCATGTGTTCAGCTACTCGCTTTAGATGTTTGTATCCAGTTATTACCTACTTGCCTACCTACCTACTTGCCTACCTACCGACCTACACACCTATGTAACTAAGCTTTCACCCTAAACTCCTAAACCCCAAACCCTCAACCCCAAGCCCTCAACCCTAAACCCCAAACCCTAAACCCTTCAACCCTCAACCCTTAACCTTAAACCCAAGACCCCAAAACCCCAAAACCCCTAAACCCCTAAACCCAAAACCCTAAACCTTAAACCCTAATATAAACCCTAAACCCCTAAGCCGTTGCTTTGACCTGAAGACCCAGAGCCGGGAAGCGCACTAAGCAAGGACGATGTCAGGCAGATGGAAGATTCGGCTGATGGCTACCCGTAAGGAAGGCATATACCAACAAATTTAGGGTTTAGGGTTTAGGGGTTAGCCAAAGATCACCAGAACTTGGGGTCGTGAAGACAACGGGAAGTCAGTCGGAGAAGGACCTCAAAGCAGCAAGCAACAACTCCCCACTGCCCTCTGAGGCGGCCCGATGTTTTTAAACTATCATGAACCCCTTGCACACCCGATGAAGGCAGCACGGGGCCAGGGCAAAGCCCGGGTGAAGCCGGGAAACAAATCCGACAGGACACGGTTCAACAATCCTTGGCAAGGCTCACCATGCCCTAAAACCCCGTATAGTGAGCGTGTGTGATCGTGGCTATGCCGGAAAGGCTCGGCATGCGATTATAAAGGATCAGGGCAACGCCCGGATGAACCTGGTGGTCTGCTGCGGCTGGAACACTTTGCCCATCGAACAAATGGAGCCCGCAGGGTGACGCTTTAGGGTTTAGGGTTTAGGGTTTAGGGGGGTTTAGGGTTTAGGGTTTAGGGTTTAAACGAGCAGCAGGCACTGCTAGCCATGCAGAATCATGGGCATATTTTCGCGGACGTGCTTCGCATTGCCGTGTGCTTTAGCGGCTTGCTGTGGATGCAGCAAATTGCAGCATGGCAGTCGCCGAACCGCAAGGACAGGCGCCCTAAACCCTAAACCCTAAACCCTAAGCCTCTTTGGTGACTGCCGAAGTGGTGCCGGGCTCGAGATCAAACCGCCCGGCACGGCTCACTGCCTTTCCAGCGCCGCATGTACCTCGTCCTTCCCCCTAGGACTCCATGTACCCATATAGTAGATACTTAGGCTTATAAAGTACCTATATAGGGACCCCTTTAAGGCTTAAGTATCTACTATATGGTTACATGGAGCCTTTGGGTTCTAGCCCAGTTGTCACGACGACCTGCTGCATCCCAGGAACTCTTCAGTCCCGTTCGAAAATGGCGGGCGTGCACTGGCACGGGCGCTTACAATCTAATAAACTCCTATCAAACGTGTTCATATGCGTGTTTGTGTGTATACACTCACATATGTATATATATATATATACATACCCAAACCCTCAACCCTGAATCCTAGAACCCCAGACTCAATTCAATCATGTTGCCGCTCAGATGGAAGCCAAACCCGAACCCTAAACCTTAAACCTGAATCATAAACCACCCAGCCTCCCCTCCCCTGCCCTCATTAAAGATGTGCCGACACCCTGAACCCTAATCCCTAAACCCCTAAGCCCTAAACCTTAACCCCTAAACCCTAAACCCTAAACCCTTTAAACCTCTAAACCTAACCCCTATCCCCTAAGCCCTTAAACCCTAAACCCCAAACCCCAAACCCCAAAACCCTAAACAAACCCTAAACCCTACACCCTTAACCTTTAAACCCTATAAACCCCCAAACCCTCTTTCAAGACGAAGCCCCGCCCTTGACAGATGAAAGCCCTGTCCTAAACCCTAAACCCCACACCCTAAGCCCCTAAGCCCTAAACCCTAAAACCTACACCCTAAACCTTAAGTCCTAAACCCAAAAACCTACACCCTAAACCCTATAAACCCTAAAACCTACACCCTAAACCCTATAAACCCTAAAACCTACACCCTAAACCCTATAAACCCTAAAACCCACACCCTAAACCCTAAACCCTAAACCCTAAACCCTAAACCCTAAACCCTAAACCGCCCTCCACAGATGAAAGCTTTGTCGACCTGTGTTTCGGCCCCGGAGTTCAGCTTCAAGTCACGAGTCCCGGCCCGGGTCCTCAGGGTTTAGGGTTTGGGGTTTAGGGTTTAGGGTTTAGGGTTTAGGGTTTAGGGTTTAGGGTTTAAGGTTTAGGGTTTAGGGTTTAGGGTTTAGGGTTTAGGGTTGAGGGTTTAGGGTTCAGGGTCCGAAACCCCTGTATGATCCCAATATACTTCCGAAGGTTAGCCTTTAATTCCCCAGGATACTGGACAAGTAGGTACAAGGGTTCCAATTAAATGGTTTAGGGTTTGGGAGGGTCGTATAAGGGTTCCTGTAATGGGTTCCTTCAGGAGTTATGATTATAAGTAAATTGTAAGGTAAAAGAGTTACGAGAACGATTACTATCAGTGTAAGTATCCTTGAAGGGTTGCTTGAGGGCTTTCGCCCCGGCCCGTTACGGGTTGGTTCCAGATGAGGGCCTAAGAAGTAGAATAGGGTTGGGGCGTGTCTCAGTCTGACAATGTAGCAGTGTAGCAGGAACCAGAAGGGGATGTTTTCACAAATTACCCTAAACCCTGAACCTAATTCAAGTTCCCAGGTTATTCCGATGGTGGGGCCCTTCCATTTGTGTTAGGGTTTCCCAAAGGCTCACGACACGGGCTACTTTAAGGCCATAAACGTGTATGTAGGGTTTGGGGGTTTTTGGGTCGGAATATCCCTGAGATCATATTGGGAAGGGTTAAGATTTTAGGGTCCTGAACTGAGTATGCCGTAACCGCTAATCCTAACAGCAGCCCTAAAACCTGAAGAACAAAACCGGGTAGGATGAGCTCCGCGTTTTGGAATTATGGTCTCCAACATAGCTTGCGACTTTGGGCTCGCCACAGCGAGTTAACTGCTTGAAGCACATGCCGCTGCAGGGCGACGCCTGCACTGAAAGCCCAAAGCCATACATCCAAAAACCACACCCCTAAACCCTGAACCCTAAACCCTAAACCCTACACCCTGAACCTAATCCCCTAAACCCTTAATCCCGAACCGTCCGTCACTCTCAGGCACCAGACCCCTATCCCCGAAGCTCTTACTGCCCGGCCTGTCAATGCCTTGAGCCTTGAGTCATCTTTAGGGCTTAGGGTTTAGGGGTTTAGGGGTTCAGGGGTTCAGGGTTTAGGGTTGAGGGCTTAGGGCCTACTGGGTTAGGGTTCCCTAAACCCTAGACCCGAAACCCTAGACCCTAAACCCTGAACCCTAAACCCTAAACCCAAAAAACCCTAAACCCTAAATCCTAAACCCTAAACCCTAGACCCTAAACCCTGAACCCTAAACCCTAAACCCAAAAAACTCTAAACCCTAAATCCTAAACCCTAAACCCTATACCCTAAACCCTAAAGA